CCTCGCCAGCATTTGTTATTTTCTGTCTTGTTGAACTTTGCTACTAGTGCTGGAGCAAGATGGTATACTTTCGGTATTTTTTGGTAACACCACAACTCAATAAGATCAGCTCTTCTTTGGTCTTCCTTATTCATTGTCCAGCTTTCACATGCATATGAGGTGACTGAAGATACCATGGAGTGGGTAGGCGCGCTTCAGTGTTTTTGAGGTGTATAGGATCGGTGTTCTTTAGAGTCTACATGTTGTCTTAGTTATCCAGTGCTGCTGTAACAGGAATACCACAGGTGACTGAGTGGCTTTAACAAACAAATTTATTTTCTCGCAGTTTGGAGGCTAGAAGTTTGAATTCAGGGTGCTGGCCCCAGGGAAAGACTTTCTCTCTCTGTTGGCTCTGGAGAAAGGTCCTTGTTTCTTCTGAGCTTCTGCTTCTGGGCAGTCTTCATGAGGCTTGCCATCTCTCTTCCTGCATCTCTTGCTTGTTTAATCTCTTTTTTTATCTCTAAAGAGACTGATTTAAAACACACCCCACACTAATCTTGTGTCACACTAATATTGTCTCATTAACATAACAAAGACAGCCCATTCCCAAATGGACTTGTTATAAATATAGACATAGAGGTTGGGGTTTACAACATATAATTTGAAGGAAGACACAATTCAATCTATAACAATGGGATGTAAGTCTTTGTTGTGCTGTGGATATATATATTCATGCTTTCCTTACCCTTTTTATTTTGCTGTAGGCTGAGAAATGCTTGATAAAACAAAATTTAAAATATAGTAAATAGATCTTGAGTAAGGAGCTTTTTTATGAATAAAGTATTTCAGACTTAGTATATAAAATTAAATTCATGCTTCTTAATATATTAGTTCCTCCTTAGTAGTCATTTATAGAATAACTTCTGGATAAAGCATATTGTTAGTCTTCTTGAGTAGAACTCATTCAACAAATATGTATTGGATGCCTGCCATGACACTCTTTTCAACATTACAAAGGCTTCACAGATAAATTAAAAATATTATCTGCCTTTAAAGAATTTAGGAGCTCTGGTGGCATAGTGCCTAAGGCATTTGACTGCTAACCAGAAGGCTGGTGGTTCAAACCCACCAGCTACTCCTCAAAAGCAAGGTTGAGCAATCTGCTTCGGCAGTGATACAGCCTTGGAAAGCGAAGGAGGGGTTGCTCTGAGTCAGATCTGACTCCACAGCATTGGTTGCGTTTTTAAAGAATTTACCAACTAGTGTGGAGTGAGGAGAATGGAGGTATGTATGTAAACTAAATAGGATAAGCACAGAGGTGTATCTATGCAAAACAGCACCTATAGCCATTAGTTTTAAATTGCTGAATGATCTCTCACAGCTGATGATGGAAACTATGATGGTGAATAGAAACTGCTTATTGGTGCCCCCCTCAAGTGGTGCCCAGGGCACATGGCATACCTACCATACTCTAGATATGCCTCTGAATAAGCACCAATAAGAACATATCCAGATCAGCAGGCATGCTTCATGAGGGCAGGAAGTTTTATATTTATTGACATACCCTTAGCACCTCAAATTGTTCCTAATATATATTAATAGTTTCTCACTAAATTCTTAGTGAATGAATCAATGAATGATGTGTTGAATCAAGAAGATAAAAGCGGTAATTACTATTTTAAATGCCTGCTGTTGTCATGCCTTATACTTGGAACTTTGCATATATTATTTCCCTTACTCCTCACGACAATGTTATGATGCAGATAATATTCCCATTTTTCAGATAAGAAAATAAGACTCAGAGAGGTTACATAATTTGCCTTGGTCAAAACTCAGAGTCAGCAAGCCCCATTGGGTTTCCAAGGCTAGTAAATGGCAGAAAGAGACAGTGTTTTTGAAATTCATTGTTTGAAAAGGCAAAGTGCATGCATAAAGAAGAAATTCTCCAGCTGTTTCTTAGCTGTAGAACTGGAGATGAGATAGCCTCATCCTTTTAACACGCACAGAACTCCCTGTGGAGGACCTGTGAGGCTTTGAAAGTAACGGATTATTTATTCCCTGGAATTGCCTTCATGCTGCAATTGCTATAGAATGAAAATAACAAATGTGGGTGGATGTGGCTACCATGGGAGCCCCAATGGCTGACTTTCTTTGCCTCTGGTTTCAAGGATGCCTGTGAGATGCTGATGAGCACAATTTTGAAAGAACTTCAAAAGAATAACCATGCTTCCCCAGAGCAAGTACCATTAAGTGAGGATTTATGCCAGCCTCCTGTTCCCCAAGGCTTGGGGCTCCGGGCTGGACTTGTTATCACTGGGAAGACCCTAGAGTTTGCCCTGCAAGAGAGTCTTCAAAAGCAGTTCCTGGAGCTGACTGCTTGGTGTCAAGCTGTGGTCTGCTGCCGAGCCACACCCCTGCAGAAAAGTGAGGTGGTAAAATTGGTACGCCACCATCTCCGAGTGATGACCTTGGCCATCGGTGAGTGGAGATGGGTGGGACCAGACCCTGTGCTTCTTCCTTTCATACCAAACCAGAGGCAGATACTTCCATCTGTCCTTTTGTCTGTACTTCTGTCTGTCTTTCTTGACCCCTTCCTCCCTTACTTTCTCTTCTCCCTTTCACCCTTTTCTCTTCCCCTCTTTCATTCCCTTCTCCCTTTCCTCCCATCATATACCTGACCTGCTATAAACCAGGTAGTAGGGATGTGATACAGAAAACAATATAACAACATAACAGACAGGATTCTTGGGTTATATGTCAGACTTGTGACTCGGCTGTCTCAAGTAGGGTAATGTACTGACTCAGAAACTCTCACTACCGTTGAGTTGGATCCAACTCATAGCAACCCCTCCTTGGGTTTCTGAGGCGGTATCCCTACGGAAGTAGATTGCCCAGCCTTCCTTCCGAGGAGTGGCTGGTAGGTCACAGAACTGAAAAATCCAGGAGTTCTAGCTTCAGGAAAGTTGAATTGGGGGACATGAACAATTCTTTTATTTACCCATCCAACAAATATTTGAGTGCCTTCTAGGCGTAGGCATTTTTGTAAGCAATGGAGATACAAGAGTATATAAAACAAAAAAATGGCTTTTGTTACGAAACTTATATTTTAGTGGGAAGGAGTGTTCAGTAGAACAATCAAACAAACAAAAAGATAAGTACAAGGTAAATATACAGCTTATCAGTTAGTGAGAAATGCTGTAGAGGAAAGCAAAGCAAGATTATGGGGGTGTGAAAAGGTGAGAATGGGAAAGGATACTGCTTGTGTAAATATGGCTTTCAGAGACTGTCTCTCTGATAAGGTTGTATGTGAGCAGAGATGAAGGACTTGAGGGGAGATCAATCCATGGGTGAGTGATCCGAAGGGAGAACATTCCTGGCAGAGTAGATGGTAAAAACAAAGTCTCTGAGGAGGTAGACCATGGTTGGTGTGTCCAAGGCCAGAGTAGATTGAGGGAAGATATTTCTACAGGTTTTTGTTTTGGTTACCTAGTGCTGCTCTGACAAGAATATACCACAAATGGGATGTCTTTAACAAACAGGAGTTCATTCTTACAATTTTGGAGGCCACAAGTCCAAGTTCAAAGTGCCAGGCTCTAGGAAATGGGTGAAAGTCCCTCAAACCTGGGCTTCAGCTCTGCCTCTTGCTCCTAGCCCACTGAAGCTAGAGGCATCTCTTCCCTCAGAGAGCTGCTAGCTGCTGAAGCTGACAAACCCAAGGTTGACAAGTGAAAAGGCACAGTCCCAATATTACCAAACCACACAGCAGGCCATTAATTCAAGTCCATTAAAAGTCCTAAAATCGGCAGAGCAACATGGCAGGCTGCTGAACAATGACTTGCCTACACATAGAGTTGAAGTGTGCCATCAGCTGGAGACCTTCCTCAAAGCTGCTCCTTATATCCTGGAAGCAGACCCCATCCCTAAAGCAGCCACTCAGCTGCTCCAGTAGATTCCACCACGGAATTGATTGCCAGTCTCACCACGGGGAATAACTATATCCAGTTGCCCAACCATTCAACCAGACCTAGCCAAGTTGACATTAACTTAAGTACCATTGGTTAGTCAAAGTCAGAAATGTGGCAGGTAGCCAGATCATTTAGGTTCTTAAAGGCCATTATACAATTTTGGCTCTTACCTGGAAAAATAGGGAAATTTTGGAGGATTCTTGAACAGAGGAGGGACATGCTCCACCTTAGGTTTAAAAGGATCATTTTACCTAATCCTAACCCTAACATCAAGCGTAGCCATATCCCTAACCACAGAAAACCCTACCCCTAACACTAACTGTTATGGTAGTCCTAACCCCAACCGAGTCATAGTGCTAACCCTAAACTCAAACCTAACCTTAATCCTAACACTGAACCTGGCCGTATTCCTAACATTAAACTGAGCTCCAATGCTAAAACAAACACTAACCCTAACTGTACCTCTAAACCTAATTAGGGTTAATGCTAACCCTAATTCTAGCAACACACACACACACACAAAGATTTATTTGGCTATGTTTTGAAAGTTACTGTAGTGCAAGCACACAAGTAAGAAATTCAGTTGGGAGGCTATTAAAGTAATTATGCCAAGAAAGATGGTGCCTTGGGCTTAGGTGTTAGAAGTACAGGTGGTATGATGTGGTCAGGTTATGAACACATTTTGAAGGAGAAGCTGGTGATATTTGCTGATGGATTAGATATGATTATGATGAGAGAGTTATTAAATATGATGCCAAGGTTTTGACTGAGAACAGAAAGGATGTAGCTGCCATGTATCAAGATGGGGGAGTGGGAAACAGAAGGTGAAAAAAAGTCTAAGTGGTTATAGCCATTAGGCAGCTGGATATAAAAGTCTGTTGTTTAGCAATGAGGAATTGGCCAGAGATATAAATTTTGAAATCATAAGTCTAATTTAAAGTCTTGATAATAGATGAGATCAATGGGCATAAATTGGAAGAAACATTTAAGGCTTGAGACACTCCAGTGGTTAGAGTTTAGCTAGATGCAGGTTCAGTCATCTCATTTCAATCTTTGTTTTCCCCTAGATTGCTTCCAGTCTCAGGTAGTCTCTCTTCACAGTGGTGATGTAGCCACTGAAAATTTCCAGCTTATGTTTTCTCCCGTTGGCAATCCCAGGGAAGATATTATACCTCTTTTCAGGTTGGTAGTAAAATATCTGGATTAGGGTTGAATTTTGGTTAATTAACTTTGAACATATAAGTGAATGAGTTTTTCAAGCCCCTGGATCCAATTGTTCCTGAAGCTAGAACCTCCCTAGACTTTTCAGTTGTTGTTGTTAGGTGCCATTGAGTCAGTACATTGACTAGTACATAGAGAACCTGTATACTACAGAACAAAAACACTTCCTGGTCCTGAACCATTCTCACAATCATTGCTGTAATTGAGCACATTGTTGTAGCCACTGTTCCAATCCATCTCATTGGAGGTCTTCCCCTCCTTTGTTGACTCTGTTCTTTACCAAGCATAATCTCCTTCTCCAGGTACTGGGCCCTCATAATAACGTGTACGAAGTACAAGAGATGGAGTCTTGCCATCTTCATTTCTAAGGAGTCTTCTGGCTGTACTTTCGTCTAAAACAGATTTGTTCATTCTTCTGGTAGTCCATGGTATATTCAATATTCTTCACCAACACCATAATTCAGATGCATCAATTCTTCTTTGGTCTTCCTTATTCATTGTCTAGATTTCACATGTGTATAAGACTATTGAAAATAACATGGCCAGGTGAACCTTAGTCCTCAAAGTGACAGCTTTGCTTTTTAACACTTTAAAGAGGTTTTTTGCAGGAGATTTGTTCAATGTAATATGTCATTTCATTTCTTAAATGCTGTTTCTATAGGTATAGTTTGTGGATCCAAGTAAAATAAAGTCCTTGACAACTTCAATAATGTCTCCATTTATCATGTTGCTATTTATTGGTCCAGTTGTAAGGAGTTTTGTTTTCTTTATGTTGTGCTGAAATCTATACTGAAGGCTGTAGTCTTTGATCTTCATCAGTAAGTGCTTCAAGTCCTCTTCAGTTTGAGCAAACAAGGTTGTGTCATCTGCATATCACAGATTATTAATGAACCTTCCTCATGTGTCGATCCCTGAATCAATCATTAAAGCCAGGGAACAGAAGATGCTGATTGGGAGGTCTGGAATGAATACCCACCCATAAATTTGGGGATTTGGCATCACTCTGACACAAACCACAAGGGCCCAGAATACCCATGGAAAATCAGGGTACTATTTCTAGGAAATAAGCAAATGATAGGCAGACAGTTAGAAACAACAAATGCCCATTACCAGCCAGCATGGAATACCTCCTCTTAAGAAGCTTCCAATGTGTTGGGGAGAACAATAAACTTGTATGTAACCATAATATATAATATGATATGATTGTGATACACATGGTGCTGTAGCCTAAAGAAGAGGCAACTGATCTCTGCTTGAGGAAGGCTGGGGAAGGTTTCCCAAGGCAGGTGACATCTAAGCAGAGAACATGAGCAATTGAAATGCAGCAAGGTAATTTGGAGGTAATGAGGATAGTGTTGGGAGAATAGGGTGATAGTATGTGCAGTGTCTAGAAGGAGCAGGGTACTTTTGGAGACTTGAAAGTAAAGTGTGTGACATAGAAAAAGGAGTGATTAGTCCAGGCAGGTAACATAGCATGAAAAACTTTACAGCAGTCTAAGGAGTCTGGACTTCTTCCTAATGTCACTGGGATGCCACATTCAATTCGTGCTTAACTAGCTTCCAGGTAATTTGGAGAAAGGGACAGACTTTGAAAGATTTGTTTTTCTGCTTTAGTGACCACTATTGATTTGCAAAGTTTATCACCTTTTTCTTATGTTCACCCATCATTATGTTTCTCATCACTTTTTCCTATCTCCTGAAGGTGATGGTGCCAATGATGTTAGTATGATACAGGTGGCAGACATTGGAATAGGGATCTCCGGTCAAGAAGGCATGCAGGTGAGTGAATGTTGTGCATTAAAAGACCATGACCTTAATATGTCCATATAAGGGCAACATTCTCCATAGAGGGAAGAAAGTTTATCTGTTCAATCATTGGTTATTTACTGATGTGTATTTTGTGCCTAGGATTTTCCTGGCTAATTTTAGCTGTATTATTCACTTGCTCACTCTGAAAAATAGAGCCTGTGTACATCATCAGAATGCGTATATATGCATTTTTAACAAGGAGTGCATATTTTTAGTGCTACAGTAACTACTTATATTCTGACACTGAAGAGAGCTACTAAGGATTTAAATAAATAAGCTAAAGTTTTTGAGAAAGAGAGAAGGAGGAAGGAAGAGGGAGACTGAAGGAAACAGGGAGGGTGGAGTGTCCTGTTTGCTTTGGGATGTGTGTGTGTGTGTTTACAATAGTGTTTTGAGGCACAAATTCAGATAAAAGCTTGTCATTGAAAAGACTGTTTTTCATGTAGAGTGCTGACAGAAGAAGGTGGGATCTGAGACTTAGGGTTTCCTGAGAATTATAAATTATGTTAGCTCTGTGCAAGACGAGGAATTCAAATACCTCTTTGCCTGATGCATTAAGCAAAGTCATATAAAGTCATGACTGTGATACTTCTGGTTGTTATCATTGAGAAGCGGTCAAATGCACGTTGTTTTTACCTCTTGCTAAGAGCTACTTTTTCTGGAAAATGCATTTGCTGCAACGCATCATGAATAGTAAGCAAGTAAGAAGACTTGTTTCATGGGATTGCACTGGAAAGCTGGATTGTAGCCCTGGGCAGCCCAGTGAGGCTCTATACTCATGGGTTTTGTTTGTAATGTGCATAAGGTTCAAACAACAGATTTGACTAATCTTCCAAGCCTGGTGACAGAAAGGTTGCTGTGTCCCTGTTCTAACATGTTTGATTACTCAGGGTGGCCTTCTTTCCCCTTTGACTCTGCAGGCTGTGATGGCCAGTGACTTTGCCATTTCTCACTTCAGACATCTCAGCAAGCTCCTTCTTGTCCATGGACACTGGTGTTATACACGACTTTCCAACATGATTCTCTATTTTTTCTACAAGAATGTGGTATGTGACTCTAGAGAATTTGTCCCTTTTGCCTGCTAATGGTGGTTGCATAAAGGATAGAGAGGAAGTCTCCTGCAGTAAGCTGACTTTGCCTTGACGTTTTCAGGCAGCCAGGAGCACTCCTGCTGTCTTTCCAGAAATAATTGGAGAATGTGCTATGTTTCAGCTGCTGACAGAAAATTGGTGGGCTTGTCCATCTGCTAACATTTTCTACTCCTTATGCATTTAAATTCAATTAAGTCCTGTCTGGTTCATTTAAAATCCAATTTTTGACCTTCCATAAAAAGGTTGTGACAAGCAGAATTGTGAAATGTTTAATACTGCCTGTCAGTAGGGAAGGAAAAAGTTTGCTTCCATTTTATAGGAGATACCAAGAAGTGTTTGCTGTGCCCAAATTGATATTCCTTGGGGTTTATTGAAGACATAAATACAAATAAAAACCCAGTATCCTGACTTAAGCTGTAACTACTAGCACTCACAGATGCCAGAGTTCTCTAGCAAGCCTAGACGATGCATTTGGGCTGGATACTTATTTGATGGTAAAAGATTGTGTAATTCCTAAGTGGCAGAATTTGATTAAAATTCTGGCTCTGTTTGGTGCAACCTTTGACACACCACTTAAAGTTCAATTTCCTCTTTGATAGGATCATTTTGAACTTGGATTGCTTCACTTAAGTCATTCCAGGGCAGGTAGATGTTATAAATATGGCATAATTTTTTAGATCAAGTTTATTCTTAGCCTTTAAAGCCCATATGTAGAGTACTAGGAGTAAATATAAATTTATACTACTCTATTAAAATACTAAGGAGGGCTAGTGGCTCAATAGTTAAATGCTCAGCTGTTAAGTGAAAGGTTTTTGGTTCAAACTCACCAGTAGCTCTGAAGAAGAAAAGACCTGGTGAACTGCTCCCATAAAGATTTCAGCCTGGGAAACTCTATGGAGAAGCTCTATCTACTCTGTCATGAAGGGTCGCTATGAGTCATAATTGAATTAATGGCACATAACAACAACAGCGAAATGCTGTATTTATGGAAAACACTTAAATGGATCATTTTAGAATGTCCCACGTGTAATTTATCTCCATGTTTGTATGTATGTCTGTCAGCAGGACTATTTTTTCCTGCGGCACAGTGGAAGCTCTCAATGGTTTAATCATGGTTGCATAAAGGATGGTGAGAAAGTGTTGTACACTAAGCTGATGGCACACTAATCAGAATTAGTATTTATTCAAAGTTTAATAAGGCTCAGACACTTTAAGAAAATATTTTAAATTCTTGAAGTGTCTTCCTGAGTATATGATTCTGGGTGTATTGAGTTTGAAGGAGTTTGGGACCAATCAAGAAAAAAGATAGGACCACAAGATAGTGAGGTAGCATCTCATAAGCTCTTTATTGGGGCTGAGGCATTGACAGCCACATGCAGGGGCCGGTCCCCCACAGCAGGAGGCCTCCCAGAGGCCAACAGTGCAGGAAGCTACCAAAAGGAGGAGAGGTCATGAACAAAACTTAGAGAAGAGAAGAAAGGAGAGGGCACTTACTTGTGTCTTGATGACGTCCTTCTGTGGCAAGGTAGGGAGTTTCTGGGTAAGAGACTTTGGAGGATAGACACAGTAAGGGGTCCTTAGAACTATAGGTTATATCTTATCTAGGGACAGCAGATGTTGGACACAATTTTGCTAGGTGTGTAAAGCAGACAAGCTCAAAGTGGCTAAAAATCTGCTTATCTGGGCTATATTTAAAAAAAAAAACTGAATATGGACAAAATTGAGTTTGGGACTGGCAGGAGTTTTGGGCTAATGGCCTCATCTTGCTATGAAGAAGTCAACAACTTGGGGCCAATGCACAGAGACTCATTTATATAATACTGAAGAAGGGTATGGTTGTCATTTAAAATTCTAGGGCTTAGTGGCCAATGACTTTTATAGAGCAATCTTCCTCCAAAGGTGGTTTTTTTTTTTTTAATTATTACTTTTATATTTTTCTACCTTCTCCCCACTCTTCTGCAACCCCACCCCATCTCTGCTGACCCCAGATAAACCCAAGGGTTAAGAAATACTAATATTAGAAAGAAATGCTACTTGCTCTTAGAAAGACAGGGAGTTTTCATTAGGAGAAAAAATATCACTAGGGAGTAAGAACCCCTGTCGATTTCTGTTCTGTAACCCTTAGATGGTCATCCATAGCAATATCCTGCAGACTTAATTTCTTCTTTTTGTTTTCTTAGCCAAACAAGGAATGTTGTATAGAATGTGGAGAAAGGACTAGTACCAGGAGCTACTAGAGTCATTTACCTTACTAAGGCCATAGACAACTTTCGAGAAAGCAGTGAAGACTATATTCATTCCCCAGAATCATGCCCCAAACCACACGAACCCCAAAACGATACATTTCCAGGAGCTGGGTGTGTACTGTGTGTCCCTCATATCTAGACTAAGCAGCTCTATTCTCAGAACTGTGGCCCCTATCCTAAGATGTTCTGGTATATTTATGATGGTAATTATAATAATATTTGGAAGGCATTTTACGTGTTACAAAATCCAAACTCTTTGCCTTCAAGTTGATTCTGACTCATGATAACACCATGTGTGCAAGAGTAGAACTGACCTCCATAGGGTTTTCCAGGGCTGTAATCTTATGGAAGTAGATTACCAGGCCTTTTTTTCTGCACTGCTGCTGGAAGGGTTCAAACCAGTCATCCTAGCCAAGCATAAACCATTTGTGCCACGCAAGGACCTGTTACAGGTTACAATCATTCCCAAACTTGATGTTGATACTAAACCTTGAATCTGTTATTCTCATTTTATAGGTCAAAAAAAAAACAAAACAAACTCACTGCCATTGAGTTGATTCCGAGACCCAGAAAACCCTCCTTGGGTTTCCGAGGCAGTATTTCTATGGAAATAGGTTGCCTAGCCTTCCTTCTGAGGAGTGGCTAGTGGGTTTGAACTGCCAGCCTTCTGGTTAGCAGTTAAATGCCTTAGCTTCTGTTTTTATAGGTCAGGAAATTAAAATTCAAAGAAGTTAAGAAAATGGCCTAAAGTCAAACAATCAGTAAGAAGTACCCCAGGCCTTGAAACCAAATCTAAATTTAAGGCTATTATCTTTTCCTATGGCTTGCCTTGCCCAAACCTACCAGCCACTCCTCAAACCCACTAGCCACTCCTTGGAAGCAAGGTTGGGCTATCTACTTCTGTAGTGATACCGCCTCTGAAACCCAAGGAGTGGTCACTATGAGTCGAAATAGACTCGATGGTAGTGAGGTTTTTGTTTTTGTTTTTGTTTTTGCCTTGCCAGAGAACACAGAGCTTTTGTTGTAATGAACTTAGTTTGTGTGAGATAAAATTTTGTTGGAAGTTTTGACCTGGTCTTTAGGGTAATCAGCTGTCCTGGTTTGCCAGAGACTACTCCAGTTTTGGTTTTGAGAGTCCCACGTCCTGGGAATACCCTAAGTTCCAGGCAAGCTGGGACTGTTGGTTACCCTACTGGTTCCATTCCACTCCACCATTAAGAAGTAACTGGGGACTCAGAAAGCCAAAGAACAAGCATCCGTCTGGTGCTCGTGCTTTGCAGGCACTGGGCTGGGTGCTCTTCTTCTAGAGCTAAAATATCTCAGTTTCAGTACTGGCTCTGCCACTTACTATCTGGGTACATTTAGGAAATGACTTAGCATTTCTATGCCTAAGTTTTTTCATCTATAAAATGGGAATAATAATAATTCCCAAGTTGTTATGAAGCACTTAGAACAGGACCTTGCATACTAAGTAAGAGGTGTGTATGTGTTAATTTAATAAAACATTTAACCAAGAAAAGCTGCAAAGTGGATTGTAATCTCCTATTTCTCAGTGAGGAAACGGAATTTCAGAAAGGCTGAGATCACACAGCTAAACATGGTACATAGGAATGTATGATCATTGTGTGCAGTTCTGTTTCTAAGACCCAAATATTCTTCTTTGTATCCATAGGCTTACGTGAACCTCCTTTTCTGGTTCCAGTTCTTCTGTGGGTTTTCAGGAACATCTATGACTGACTATTGGGTTTTGATCTTCTTCAACCTCCTCTTCACCTCTGCCCCTCCTGTCATTTACGGTGTTTTGGAGAAAGACATGTCTGCAGAGACACTCATGCAGCTGCCTGAACTATACAAGAGTGGTCAGAAGTCAGAGGTAGGTACTAGGGCACATCCTTAGACTGATACATATTCATTGTCAAGGCCAGTGCATTTTCTAGTCAGTCCAGCCCAAATACAGCAGTATGTAAAGCATTATTTTAAACTATTTGAAACGTCTAGCCATTTAAAGAAGCCATTTAAGGAAGACCAAAGAAGAGTTGATGCTTTTGAGTTGTGGTGCTGGCGGAGAATGCTGAAAGTACTGTGGACTGCTAAAAGAACTAACAGATCTGTCCTGGAAGAAGTGCAGCTAGAATGCTCCTTGGAAGCAAGAATGGCCAGACTTCGTCCCACCTATTTTGGTCACGTTGTAAGAAGGGACCATTCCCTGGAGAAGGATGTCATGCTTGGTAGGGTGGAGGGTCGATGAAAGATGGGGAAGCCTTCAACGAGATGGATTGATACGGTGGCTGCGACGATGGGATCAAGTATAGCAGGGATTGTGGGGCTGGCACAGGATCGGGCAGTGTTTCGTTCTGCTGTGCATGGGGTCGCTATGAGTCGGAAACGACTCGATGGCACTTAACAACAACAACAACAAGCCATTTAAAAAAATTTCTAATAACACTGCAGATAGTAAGTTCTTGCCACTGTGATGAATACAGATAAAATGATATAATACCTTAAATACTTAAAAGAATCCAGTGTCTGAAAGCTTACAGTGAGTAATGTCTAGCATTTACTAAACCTATTCCATCTGTGGTGCTAAGGACTAAATATGTCCTGTTTTATTGATCCTCACAAAAATGCTTTGAGACAGAACCTAGTATTATCCCTAGCCTAAGATGGAGAATCTGAGCCTCAAATAGGTTAAATAATTTTTCCAAAAATCTCACAGCTAAAAAGTGGTAGAGCCGATTTCAAAACCATAGCTAAAATTTTCCAGTTCTCTTGTCATTCATTCAAGAAGGCAGTGATGGTTCACCCATAGAATTCTCACCTCATACCTGGTTCACTTCCCAGCCAAGGCACCTCAAGCTCAACCCGCACTCATCTTGCCATGGAGGATTGTGTATTGCTGTGATCTTGAACATGTTTCAGTGGAGCTTCCAGATTAGGACAGACTAGGAAGAAAAAAGGCTTAGTATTCTACTTCCAAAACTCAGCCAGTGAAAACCCTGTGCGTCACAGTAATCTGATCCTGTATTCATGGGGTCACCATGAGTCAGGGGCACACTCAGTGGCACACTGACAATTGTCATTTGAACCATAGAGTTTTCTTATTATCAGGCCTGAGCCTTGTCTCTAACTCTGAGGACAGAGACTGAGTCATCTCCCTTCTTGAACCACATGGATGATGTTGGGAAAATGAAATCCCCATAGAAGATCTGGACAGACAAAAAATCAGTCTAATCATAGTAAGTTTGAGTGTTGTACTTCACTTGCTGTCCTGAAGACACTGACCAAGTTTAGTACATGTTCCAAAACGTGGGTTATGTTTAATCCAAGTCCAGATTCAGATTCTGTATTGTGTGATGTTGGTAAGTTATTTAACTTGCCTGTACCTTACTTTACAGAGGTAATGTGAGGATTAAATCAGATAATGTGTGTAAAATTACTAGCCATATTAAGTTTCGGTATTGTTATTTCTACCTGTCAAAATTAACCGTAAATTTAGAGGAAATCCCCAAATTTAAGATGATGCATTAATTTTTGTCCAACTTTACCCTGACTTGAACTGCCTTATCAGACTGGGACATCATTTAATGTCCTTACGCTATCTGCAGCAGCCTAAACAGAGGAGAAGCCATGCATTTAGCTTTCAAGGGAAAAGAAATTCTTAGAATCCTTTAGTATCTTCCAATCCATTCACAGCAAGAAACAGCATGAACTTTTCCTAAAGGAGTCCATTCTGTCTGAAAGTTCAAAGGCCAAGATGTTGGAATGTGTGCTTGATATCAGTGAAGGCTGTCCCTAAACCCAGAGCTAGGTTAAATTCTAAGTCTTTTGGGGAAAGCAGAATAAAAACTTCAATCAAAGTTTTTATAGCAAGTGTTTTAAAAGCTCATTTGTACAGACTGAAGATTGTAATTGGTCCTTACTCTGGGGAGAGTTGAGGTCATTGTTTCCTGCTATTGAACCCTGTTATCAATCCTTTGCACACATTGTTCTGTTGAGCTGTCTGGTTTTATAATGCATGACAATAGGCAGATTCCCAGCATGTGACCATTGATTAAAGGTAATTGAAGTCATTGACTTTACCTTCCAGAAATTATCCTTTCTTTGAACTTGGCCTCCAAACAAATTCCATTTTATGATTGGGACATTTTCTGTCTTCAGTGTCATGACATGTACTCTCCAGGGTAGATAATGTCTCCCTCCTGTAAAGATGGACCTGGAAGGCTGCAGTCAGAGGCTTTTGTTCCAAGAAGCAATCATCTGTTACCCACCTCTCATCACTTTCACAGTCTTCTTTTCTATCTTGGGCTCCATCTTCAGATTTTCCCTTTCAGGGTCCAGGAGATCCCATGAGTTAATCCCTTCAGCCTCTCGTTCATCTTAGCCTTTACCATTTTCTCTCCGCTTTTCTAAACCAAGTTACTCATGTGACAGTAGGAGAAATTGTGCTCTTTACCTTTTGACTCTAACTCTTTTGAGCAATCTCTGTTCCTCCACCCACTCACTGCCATCAAATCGATTCCAACTCACAGAGACGCTATAGGACAGAGTAGAACTACCCCAAAGGGTTTCCAAGGCTAAAAATCTTTATGGAAGCAGACTGCCACAATCATCTCCTGTGGAGCAGCTGGTAAGTTTGAACCACTGACCCTTTTGGTTAGCAGCCACATTTCTTAACCACTGCACCACCAGAGCTCCTTTCCATTCCTCTAGAAGCATGAAATTTTATTGTAACTTGTCCCTAAATTGTTTTCTTCTTTAATGGCACTTGGTTGTCCCTGTGACTCTGACAAAGTCCCTGGCACTATTTGATTGTTCTTCCTGCTTGAATTTTATGGACAATTAGATGAAGAAAAAAAGGCAGAATGTCCCATCATTTCCAAAGAGGAAATGATGAGAAGATACAGGCTGAAAACCATGAATCATCATTATTGATTGTCCAGAAAACAAAATGACATAAAAAATGATAGATGTAAAAATGTTAAGAGTAGTCTTTTGAAGAACGGTAGAATGTATATGGATAGTTTGTATGTGTATATGTATATATGTGTATAAATATATGTGTTAGGACAAGTGGTTTAGAAGACAATAACATATTGTTCTTGAGGAGACAGTAACACATTTTGAAGGAAGCTTCAGCCTCATTTTGCATTTTGAAGGGAACAAGACTAAAAAGAACATGATATAAAAAGAAAGGATCAGCTCATGGATATGATACATATGTTGTCATTTTATCCATGGCAGGGATCACTAATAAATCCCAGCACTCTTTCCTTCTGGATCTCAATACAGCTTTAGAATCCTTCACATGTTTATCCTGGCAGATATTACCATTCAATCAGAGTTGGCTCTTTGTTTTGAAAACTGTTTTCAATCACTTGGCTAGTGTTTCTACTTGATCCTTCTGTTTCTTTGGACAGAAAACATGTTAGCCCATTTAAGTCATGCAAGAATAGTTTAATTCAAGAATATTTGTTGAGTACCTACTATGTATCAGATGCTGTTTTACCCATGTGGGTAAAAGAGACAATGTCCTATTCTATGAAGCCTACATTCCAGCAAAAGAACCAAAAAATCAGTAAACAATTAAGCATACTTCCAGTGGTGATGAGAGACTTCTGAGAGTATCCAGGTTGTAGCAAGTGATTGGGTGGCTACACCATTTAGACTGGTCCAGAACTATAATGAGAAAATGATATTTGAGCTAGGATCAAGGAGCTAGTTATGTGGGAAGTCCAGGACAAAGAATCCTGGCAGAGAGAATTCTTGGCAGGTAAAATCCCAAGGGGGGAAAAATAGATTTGGCCTTTATGAGAAATAGAATGAAGTCCTTTGTGACTGGAGTGCAGTGATGAGGGTCTGAATGATAGGAGGTGACTCTGAAGAACTATGTAGTGGGCAACGCTGCAAGACCTTATGGGACATGGAAAGGAGTTGAAGTAGAATTCCATTTGCATTGAAAATGTAATAGGACATCACTGAAAGAATTAGAGTGGGTCAATTTGTTTAATTATGGGGGTATGTGTGTATGTGTGTGGGAGACATGGTCTGATTTACATTTTTTTATTTTATTTTATTTTTATTGTGATTTAGGTGAAAGCTTACAGAGCACATTCATTTCCCATACAGCAGTTCACACTCATTTTGTTTCATGACGTTGACTGCAGTCCCCACAATGTAATAGCTCTCTTTCCACTTCTTCCCTGTAGTTACCTCTTCCTGGTGTCATTCTTTCCTATGCATTCCTGCCCCCTGAGCTATCTCCCTGTGCAAATACTGCCCTTCTGTTCTCCCACAAGTGATTGTTCTATGTAGTGTATCTACCTGATGTAAATGTCTGTTGCCTCTTGTCTATATGACTGCCTGTTGTTTGGCTGGAAGCCACCAGAGTGAGTTCAATTCCAGACCTGAGGGGTAACTAGGGGCCATAGTCTCCGGGGTTTCACCAGGCTCCATCAGACCAGTAAACCTGATCTTTCTTTATGATTTTGAGTTTTGTTCCACATTGTTCTCCCACTCTATCTAGGTTCTCCTGCACTGATCCCTTTCCAAGTGGTTGACAGTGATAGCTGGGCACTATCTAGTTCTGGTTTCCTTGTCATATAGGCTGAAGTTCCCATGGTCCACTAGTCCCTTGGACTAATTGTTTCCATGTGTCTTTGGTTTTATTCATTCTTCTTTGCTCTGGACAAGGAGAGAGTGACCCATCATTGCATCTACATGTCTGCTTGCAAGCTTTTAAGACCCCAGTAACTACTAATCAAAATAGGATATAGAACAATGTTTTTGTATAGTATGTTTTGCCAATTGAGCTTGATGTCCCCCATGACCATAGTCCTGAGCTCACAGGTCCAACAACTCACTCCATCAGAATGGTTGACTGTGCCTAAGAAGTTATCCTAACTTTGCCCCATTTGTTCTGTTTATATGGACATTCTTATAACACATACAAATACATATGTAGAAATATCATCTGCCAACCTTATATATACATATATATATATATATACATACATATATATGTATATAGTCATGGGTATATTCCCTTTTGCCTAGATATACCTGATCATTCAGCCTGTCTACCCATCTATTTTCCTGTAGATTAATGTTTGTGATCACTGATAACTCAGTATCATATGTGTAAAAGGGTTTATCTTTGTTGCCTGTACTTCTTGTGCACCTCTCTGTGTGTTTCTTTCTCTTAGTGTTATTGTGTTGGTTACTCGATTTGGTATATTGCCATTCCCTGCACCCAAATCATTTTTTGAAAAATCATCTGGCTGCTATTAGAAGATTGGATTGGGGGTAGGAGGAGAATCAAAGAGGCCAGTTAGATGAATATTCACCCATTTCTAGAGAGAGCTGGTGGTGGCTTGGAATGAGAAGAGTAGTGCAAATGGAGAGGAATAGATGGGAAGTTTTTGAAGCAGAACTTTTAGATCAAAATGGAATTTTAGTAATACTAGCACTATTGGAGGAGCTCTGGTATCATAATGCCTCAGGCACTTGACTGCTAACCAGAAGGCTGATGATTCAAACCCACCAGCCACTCCTCGGAAGGAAGGTTGGGCAATTTACTTCCTTAGTGATACCACCTCAGAAACCCAAGGAGGGTTCGCTATGAGTCGGGTCTAACTCGACAGCACATAACAACAACAACAACAACAAAAACAGCACTATTGCACTTAAAGTTGACACAATGAGAAAGCCAAAGTGAGTTGAAGAGTTTGTTCAGGGATTTTTTTTTTTTTTTCCCCCATTTTTACCTATAAACCCATCTTGTTCTATTACTACTCCTTATTCTTCCAGCCTACTTGATTCTTCCTGAAGAGTTGTCATGAGTTTGAATTGATGGCAGCGGGTTTGGGTTTGGTTTAATCTTCTTATCACTACAGATAAATCCCACCTGTCTGAGTGAAAAGGCAAGTATTTGCTCATATTGTTTTGACTTTGATTTAACCCTTGTTGATCTTAATGCTTCCCCCATTGCTGTTTCATTTTCAGGCATACTTACCCCTGACCTTCTGGATCACCTTGTTGGATGCCTTTTATCAGAGTCTGGTCTGCTTCTTTGTGCCTTACTATGTGAGTCCTTTTATACTCATCCTATGTATTGTTAATGAATAAATGATGCTCATTTATACTTTTCCACCAGTATCAATATATGGAAAGGTAGATTGTTCATATAATCAGGATTATTAACTGACTAAATTATAAAATCTTCCAAAAATAGATCAGTTAATGGATTAGATTTAGAGATAAGTGCCTAGTTGGGCCTTGGGTCTCTGTTTAGCTTTTTTCTGACTGATAATTTCTGTCAAAGACTTGGATAAATTTGAAGGTCTGGCCATATAATTAGATGAGTTAAAAATGAGAGAAGCAGGGAGAAGAGAGGAGAAAGGGAAAAGTATGCTTTAGATTGTAGACACTTTTGTTTCTTTTTTCAGTGATGGAAAAAGTGGCACTGAATTTGGATATAGTGATCACAGCAAAACCAAAGTAAAAATGAGTATTTGAGCACATATGTATGAGTACAGGCAAATTGATACTTGGGTTGGTATAGACGTGTACATAGGGAAGAACAGATAGAAGTATCTATAGGTACATGTATTAAAGGTTTTAGTTGGAGTCAGCAATTTGAACCCACCAGCTACTCCAGGGGAAAAAGATGAGGCAGTTTGCTTCTATAAAGATTTACAATGTTGGAAACCCTATGGGCAGTCCTGGTCTGTCCTATAGGATCACTGTGAGTCAATATAGCCTCAATGGCAGTGAGTTTGATTTTGGTATGCCCACAACCCACTGCCATCAAGTCAGTTCTGACTCATGGTGATCCCCATAGGGTTTCCAAGGCTATAAATCTTTATGAAAGCAGACTGCCTTACCTTTCTCTTGTGGAACAACCCCTGGGTTCATATTGTTGACCTTTTGGTTAGCAGCCCAATGCCTTAACCATAGCACCACCAGAACTCCTTGGTATAGGTACATGTAAATACAAATATGTGGGCGCAAACACATATATTTGTTGAATACACAAATACAGATACTCCACAGACATAACGAAACACCTTCCAACATTGATTTTCTATATTTGAAAGCTTAGGACTGTAGTCTCATGGAACAGCTCAGTCAGTTGGCATTACCTGTTGGTGTTATGTGCCGTTGAGTCGGACCTGACTCATAGCGACCCCTCCTTGGGTTTCTGAGGCAGTATCACTATAGAAGTAGATTGCCCCATCTTCCTTCCGAGGAGTTGCTGGTGGGTTTGAACCACCAGCCCTCTGGTTAGCAGTCAAGTGCCTTAAGCACTATGCTACCAGAGCTCCCTGGCATTACATAGTTCCACAAAAATTATGATCTACATCCTAGTAAAGTGAATAGCATCTGGGGTTGTAAAAGCTTGGGAGCAGACATCTAAGACACCACTATGAGCCTCTACTTTCCAGGAGCAAGACAATAAGAAAGTAATCAAACGCTCAGAGAAGAAATGAGTCGGTCTGAGCCGCAACCTCATCTACCCTGAGACGAGAAGAACTAGAGGTGCCCAGCTGCTACCACTGACAGCTCTGACCAGGGTCACAATAGATGGATGGAATGAGAGAAGAATACA